CCTAGTGAGTCTGCAGGAATGATTGACAGGTGGGTTCACCAGATGTGGACTTTTTTTTTTAAATAATAAGAATAGATAGGAAGGGTAAATCCAGGAATTAAGACAGCGAGGTTTGGACCCCGACCTTGTATTCTTTAGTGTAGGGGATAAGGACGGAGCAGACACGGAGACCACAAACATCATCGAGCACAAGCATTGTCTGACAGGTGTGAACTTCGCAAGCATTCATCCCAAGAAACGAAACGCCAGCTGACAGACTTAACGCAATCAGAAACACCGCCCATTCACAGAGACCAGGCTTGGGAAGGAGGGTCTTGGCATTTCGGGAAAGGAGGCTCCATCACGGCTCAGTGGTGAGGCATGTGGCGGAAAGCCCTGGGCTCTGCCTCCTGCCTGCAGGAAAAGTCAGGAGAGGGTTGAACTTGAGGAAGGCAGCGATAGCTGTGTTGGGCTTGATGTCTTCATTCATTAAGACAACCACAGGGCATCTCACCGAGGCAACTCCTGGGAGTTCCCTGGCGAAGATGTGCCTCGGGACGAGTCTGGTGTCATTCCGTGTTCTGGGCTCCACAGCCGCAAAGTGTTCTTTGTCTCTTGAGTTCGGGGCTTTCTGGGTAGAAACTGTGCAGCATGGTCTTGATGCATGTGACTCTTCAGTAAGGGGGGGACGGAGACACTGATTTCATCTCACCCTGAAGCCTGAATGTGACCAAGGGGGGCCACCCATCATATGGAAATCTGCCCATGGTCACAGGCCAGTGACGTAAGAAGCATTCCAGACATCACGAGGTTGAATTTTCATGCCGCCGGTGAGCAAATGTGTTGAGGCACAGGTCCAGAGTTCCTCACGAGGCAGCCATCGGCCACCATTTGCATATGCCCATCTGTCCCTTCGCCCAGGAGTCATACTGAGGCTTCATGACAAAAGACCCTGAGTGGACTTATCGTGAGTTGATGGGACTCCAGTTCTTCACATAAGCCAACCTTCTGATTTTACAGACATGGTTTTGAGTTTATGTTCCCTAAAGGAAAGCCCTGTACTGTATAATCTTTGAGCTCCCGAAATCTTGACCAGCCTCTGCTTTGAGTAGTGCGGGTAAAAAAAAAAAAAAAAAAAAAAGCTTGAGAACTCCGTAACTGTCAGCCTGACACCAAGATGGATCTGACTGGAACAGGACCTCACAGGTCCTCTGGACGTTCCTCACTGGCCCGTTCCTTCTCTGTGTCAAATTCACCCACCTTGAGCTTCAGTGGATCAGCGTGGTTGAGCTCTCCAGGGGCACGGTAGACTTGAGGTGCTATTTGCCCTGACCCCTGACCCCTGACCCCTGGGCGAAGCAGGAGCATCCAGGGCTGTCACTCACTGAGACTTTGAGCATCCTAGGATCAAAGGCGGTCCTGCTGCTGCATGTGGGTGTGTGAACTGTGGGTCATGGTAAGGGGGTGGGTCATCCAACTAGACCCAGCTCACTCCAGTGATCATTCTTCCTATGTGTCTCTCGTTACGTCGTCCTCAGCTGGGGTGGGGCACAGGCACCTGCCCTTGGCCCCTGGGTGCTTTCCTGCCCCAAACCGGGACCCTGTTTTCTTCTCGTGTGTCTTTTGATGTGAGCACGACCAGACGACCTTGAGTCCTTCTGACAGTGTGGCTATGTATCACAGAGCATGGGGCAGAGAAGCACCCTGTGCTCTGCCATTGGGTTTTGGTTAAGCCTTGGCTCGCTGAAGCCCTTCCCCCATCGGGTGGAACGCAGCAGGGCGCTGCATTTCTCTGACCCTGCTGGTTGAGGAAGGGCACCAGTGCCTGTGACTCAAAGTCCTGGGAATGCGTGTGACCCTCTGCAGGGATCTTAGCTGTCGTGGCATTCTAAGAGGACACACCCCTCTTAGTGAACCCAGAGAGTGAGCGCCTTCACAGCTGTGCTCTCTCAAGTTCAGCTCTCTCCTGACTCTTCCTACAGGCCGGCAGGAGGCAGAGCCCAGGACTTCCCGCCTGTTAGGCACAGGCTTTACCACACCGAGCTGTGCCCTCACCTGGCCTTTCTTAAGGGATGTCCACGTTCCCATTTGGTTTCCATCTCAACAAAGCAACGTTTAGCCAGTGACACACTTCCTTCTGGGAGTCCTTAGCTTGCTGGTTAATTGCTTTCTCTGCCCACTTCTCTGGGATGTAAAGAAAAGGCTGGTTCCCTCCTTCCCTTAGTCTAGAGAGAGCTCCAGGACCCTGTCTTTCCTGAGCTTGCCTGTAAGCCCTCTTACCTGTCAAGGGGAGCTGGCACCAGGAAAGCCACCAGAGCAACAGCGTGGAGCCAGGAGTGTCGGGTCACACCGGCCTCTTTGCGGGGTACTGTGTCCTTGAGAGGCACAGCACCAGGCCTGTCTGTGGCTTACACCTGCCACCCCCTCCTTCCAAGGTACCCAAGATGGCTCTGAGGAGAGGGATGCCAAGGAGGGCGGGGCACCTGGGGGGAGCAGCCAGCAGCCTTTCTGCTTTTCTTCTTGCTGTTGCCCACCGAGGAGCAACGGCTTCCTTGCTGGTGTGGAACCCAATATTAATCCTTGCAGGAACCTCCTGACTGTTTTTTTTCCTTTTTTTTTCTTTCTTTTTTTTTTTTTTTTTTTTTTTTTGCAGTCGGGGAAGTTAACTATTTTCATTGGAAAGGGTGTAAACCAGGAGGCCCTTGCATTTCACTGCACTCAGGAGAGTGCAAACTGTTGTTTCTGTTAGAAAAACCAGAAAGCAACCCCTCCCCCCAGGTGTCCACAGCCTCCTACAGGTGCCCCCCCCCCCCGCCCCCCACGACACTCATGTTCCCTTACCACTGTTAGTGCTCACCCTGGGGTTATTTACAAATTCATTCTAGCCTCAACTTGGGGTTACTACAAAGTTCAAGCAGGCAGGCTCACTACCTAGGAAAGGCTGTGTCTGACATCCACTGTGCAAGTCTGTACTTGCTGCCAAAGCCACATGGGTGGGCTTTCTGGTTCCCAGCATGTCCTGTCAGCATACACACACACACACACACACACACACACACACACACACACACACACACATGCACACACATCCACACGTGCACACACATTCACACGTGTGCATACAAGAACACACATGTACATGTCCACACACAAACACGCCTATATGCACGCAGACACGGCACGCATGATACGCGCATGCATGCATATATGTACAAGCCTTCCCTCAACAAGCCCAGAAGGCCTTTGGAGATTTCTTTCTTGAAGAGAGGGAGGAGGCTATGCCCTCAGCCCTGAGGGAAGAAGCCAGAAAAAAAACCTGTTTTTGTTAGCTCTGGGCCTGCTGGCAGGAGATGCCCGTGGTCTCACCCCTCTGCCCACCAAAATGTGAGCTGTCCGCACCGGTTACAAGCCTGAGGCGAGGGAATTGGGGAAGTGACACTCTCTGTAAAGTGGCCAAGGGTGTTGGCGGGAGGAAGCAGTAGTAAGAGGGAGGGCTCCCGTGAACCAGCAGAATTGCACACTTCAGCTGAGTCTGTTTTCTTAAGACCCTCACAGTACTCACGTAACTCACACAGTGCTCACGCATGTAACTCAGGAGACCGGCTTCCCTCTGTTACTGACACGAGTTTCTGGGGCTAGGACTATAGGCAACCCAGCTAAAGTTTGTCAGTCTCTAACCTTGGTGGAAATCCCACAGGAGACCTCTGGGTCGTGCTCCGTGGCCATGTATTGTACTTCAAGAGGGGAGCTGTTAGGAAATCTAACCCCAGGCAGGTATGGAAAGAGCATGAGGTGAGTCTGCAATTAATTTTTCATCTTAAGTTACCCTCATCTGCAGTGTTCACACATGGATGGCATTTAAAAGCACACTCCAGTTTTATGTGACACTTCCCTTTGATTTTTTTGTTTGTTTGTTTAAGCGCAGTTGTGAATTGGAATTTGTCACCTGTGGCTATTACTGATGGCAAGCTGTTTGTGTTAAACCTTCATGAGCGAAGGCAGAACAGAGACTGGTCCGAAGCAACAGAGGCTGCTGTGTGAGCGTGAGCCTGCGATTTCAGGTTGCCCGGAAAGGGGAACTTTGAAGCTCACTGATAACCTTGACGATGAGCTGGGGTTTGGGGTGGAGGGGTGAGCATGCTCAGAGAACAGGAAGGGAAGTTGAACATTTGGATTGTGCGGGGCAAGGTTTGGACTTCAGTTTCCCAAAGTTAAATTTCCACATTTGCTGTAAGTTTTCTAACCTGTGACTTAAAGCATCTGTGGGGTCATGGAATGTCTAAGAGACAAGTTCTCACTTCCTCCAGTCGACTGAACACGGAAGTGTAGGGAAGAGACAAAAGCAGGCTTTGCGGGGTGGGGGTGGGGGGCGGCGGCGGGAGACTTCATGTGCTCATTAGATAAAAACTGTTTAAACCCACATGAAATTATAGGTCCATTAGGGAGAGGAGCTTTCTCCCCGTGGGCGGTGAGCACAGCGGTTTCTCGAAGCAGACACCTTTCACTCCTTAACCTGCTACAGAAACTTCCAAAGCCCTTTCTGTTTGTTAGGATAGGTGACAGGTTTGTTTTTGTTTTTTTAATAAAATGTTTCCCTGACTTCTCCCTAAACTGACTTCTCCAGTGACAAAGGAAAATGACAGCCAGGGGACTTAAGGAGGAACTATATAGTCACTGAAAACCAGTAACACGCTCGCACAACACAGGAAAACATTGCAAGGAGCACACAGTAATTCTCAGGCTCTAGACCCCTTACCCCCTCAGCATGCTAGGCAGCATCTGCTTGCTTTATTTTATGGATTTCTGCAGAGAGGGTATAGCACCCACTCTCCCCTCCCATTGCCCCATCATTAAGGAAAAACCTTTTCCCACATGTAAACAGCCCTTGTAAGTCGTCACCCCTCCACCCAGAGAAGCTTGGCAGGCTTGAGCGATTTAAGAATGTTTTAAAAGAATGACAACGCTTTCATTACCTTTTAGAAGTCAAGTTTTCCGGAAAGCTGAGTTCCCCCGCCGCTTACCTGCAAACAGTGCCCAGTGCAGGCTCCTGGGTGGATGGGAAACTATCTATGACCAGGCAAGGAAATCGTCAGTCCATGCTGGGTGCCTTGGAAAAGATAGGTGCTGAGGGCTTTTCAAAGTGAAGAAACGCTCTGGCTGTTCGCTGTCAGTCAAAAAAAAAAAAAAAAAACAAGTTGGTACAAGTTTCTGTAAGAATTACCTGAGGGAAATGAAGAGAGAGAGAAAGAGATTGGAAGTAGGCTGAGTGGGGAAGGAGGGACAGAGAAGGAGGGAGGGAAGAAAGAGGGGGAGAGGGGGGAGAGAGAGAGAGGGGGGGGAGGGAGAGAGAGAGAGGGAGAGGGAGAGAGAGAGAGAGAGGGAGAGAGAGAGAGAGGGAGAGAGAGAGAGAGAGAGAGAGAGAGAGAGAGAGAGAGAGAGAGAGAGAGAGAGAGAGAGAGAGAGAGAGAGAGAGAGAGAGAGAGAGAGAGGGAGGGAGGGAGAGGAATCTGAGAAAGGATCCCATGATGTCATGGGACTTAAGGTCTTAAGGAAATGTACAGACCAGCACCAGCAGCTCTGGGCGGCTGGGAATGGCACTGACTCCCCAGATCCCCAGGCACCTGTGTGCAAAAGAAACTCAAGTCCTTATTAAAGAACACTGGCTCATTTCTGGAGAAACTTTGTCCCCTCTTATCAAAGTCCCCTTTTCAGGTCCCTTTGCCTAAGTAAACTATAAACAAACAGATTATCTTTCTTAAGGAGCCAGCCTGAACTCCTGCTCCCCCTCCCTCCCTCCTCTCTCTCCCCACCCCAAATGAATACTTATCAGCACCCTGGCTCCCAGGGAAAGCAGGGGACAGCAAAGGCACTCAGACCATGTCTACCACAGATTGCACCAGCCCGAGGAGAATGTCACCATGGGGAGGGAACTGCTGTTTTCTCTTCTGCCCTCAATGGCCACAGTGATTTTTTTTCTGGGGGTGGGGGTGGGGGACTGATTCTGTTTTCCTTCAGGTAGTTGGAAGGATCAGGGTCAAGCTGGGTGGGTTCTTCTAGACCAGATGGTGGGAGCTGGGCTGGGGTTCTGGGTTAGAGTTAGGGTTTTTAGCATTCCTTCTCAGAGCCTGACTTTTTATTAATTATTACTATTAAGAATTAGTCAGACATACTGGGAGAGTTCTGGGCTGTCAAAACAGAGTGAGTGTATCCTAGAACCCGTCTATGGGTTTGCGTCCTTCCTGCACTTCTGCTAAGTCCAGGGAGGGAAGATCGCAGCCTCTGTACCCTCTGCCGTCTTACAGCAGTGTGTATAGGAGTCCTGCAGCATCCCTAGAGGGGCGTGGCGTTAGCATTCAGGCACCTGTCCTTGGGGTCCTGACAGGATGCGCCCTTAACCGCAGCCACTAAGAGCACCACCTGTGTGCATTCACTATGTTCCCTCTCTCTCTCTCTCTCTCTCTCTCTCTCTCTCTCTCTCTCTCTCTCTCTCTCTCTCTCTCTCTCTCTCTCTCTCTCTTTCTCTGTCTGTCTGTCTCTGTCTCTCTCTCTCTCTCTGTTCTTCTCTCCCTTTCTCCCTCTCTTTCTCTCTCCTTCCCCGCTTTCCTCTTTCCTGCTGCTCCTGTCTCTGGAGACTGGTTTCCACTTCCCTTTCTGCTTTTTATGATCCCTTTCCCTAATTAAAAAGCAAAAAAACCCTCTGCTTGAACCTTGTAGCATGGTGTCTTTCTCTCAAGGCTGATCTTCTCAAATTACAACAAGGTGTTTCCCGTGGGGCTTCCTGCTGGTCCAAAGGCAGTCCCAGAAGGAGCAATGGCTGCTTGTCACCACGATACACTTGTCACGTCGCATGACCCCCCCTCACTCTGCCAGGGTGCCTACGCCTCTCTTCTTGTTCAAGGCCCACGTGGCTATCATTGGGCAGGTCTTGGCCCACGTGGCTATCATTGGGCAGGTCTTGGCCCACGTGGCTATCATTGGGCAGGTCTTGGCCCACGTGGCTATCATTGGGCAGGTCTTGGCCCACGTGGCTATCATTGGGCAGGTCTTGGCCCACGTGGCTATCCGCATCCCCAAGGTGGTCCTGAGCTTGCAGCCTTATCCCAACTCTGGATCTCCATTTTCCTTGCTATTTAATACGTCAGTTACCACTACTGGGAACTGCCCTGACTCACGCATGTGCTGTCCGCGCTCCGTTTTCAAGTTCCTCACTTGTCTTGGGTATTAGATATGTCTTTCCAGGAACACCCGACACCGCATTAGTCCGCATATACTGGCTCCTTGTGCACACTTACATATTATTGGAGCTATTGTATGTGTCATGACATCTAATACGTGTGTATTCTCCAAGTAGATTGTAGAAAGGCCATGGCTGGAGGAGATATAGTTATCGCAACACGGCTTCAGTACTTACCGTCTTGTATTTGATGCTTGTTTCCAGCCTTGGCTTTGATTATTTGAATATTCTTATTTAAAAGTATAAAATGCTCAACAAAAAATTCTGTCTGCTAGATGCTTAGACCACAATGTCAGCGTGATTAGTTGTTGCTTATGGGGAAGGAAAGGAATACCAGAGAAATTGAGCTGCCCAAAGCCGGATCTCCCAGGGTGCAGACGGACGATCAAGACCGGTCTTTCCACATCTCGGTCCACGCCTGTTTCATTGCTCTGCGTTTCTCTTGTTAGCCCACGAGGGATATTCACATGCAGGTATATAGGTCCCTTTGAGCAGCATATAACCCACCTCATGCAGTTTAAAGCAGCTGCAAGTTTGGTTTCTTGCAGATTCATGGTCTAGTAGAGCCAAAATACATTTATGTAAATAAGGAAAATGGTAATAATGTGTAACATAATAATAATGACAGTGAAAGAAGAAAATTAATCAAAAGTAGTACGAATACATTTGAAAAGTTAAATTCTAAGACAGTAGTCTTCATTGTGGTAATATTTACCATCTTGTCCTTTACAATGGTAACTCATCAATAATCAGATCCTGTGGTTGCAGATTTGACAGAATTCACCAAATGAGGTGAGGCATTAAAAATACACAACTAGCTGGGCAGTGGTGACGCACGCCTTTAATCCCAGCACTCAGGAGACAGAGGCAGACTGACATCTTTGAGTTCAAGGCCAGCCTAGTCTACAGAGAGAGTTCCAGCGCAGACTCCAAAGCTACAGAAAAACCCTGTCTCAAACCCCCTCCCCACTAAATACGCAACTGGAGTGCTCACAGGGGAAGTAAGAAAATTCTAGAAGAACCCTCCATGAGACCAGTCACCAAAGACAGACTCTGTTTTGCGTGACTTAATAGCTGAATGACTTGTCTAGGTATTTCTGGAAATTTTGGAGGCTAAATGGAATAGGAATACAATCTCTTTTTTACCCAGTGAATAAAATCTGCTCCCCTTCCTGGGGTTAAGGTGCAGAGTTTTAAGTGGCAGGGTCTGGAATTGGCTACATAATACAACACAACTGATTGCTGTCATCCAAGTTGGTTGAAGTAATTGATCTAAAACCCAGTAAGAGTGACTTGTTAATAATTCCGATATTCACCCTCCCTCCCTCCCTTCTTTCCCTCCTTCCTTCCTTCCTTCCTTCCTTCTGCCCTTCCAGTTAAATGAAAGCAGCAGATGTGTCTAATTGCATAGAGTATAATCTAGAATCTGTATTTGCATCTGGCGTTTTCAAGAGACCCAGCTCCACAGAGTAGGGCAACGTGAAAGCCACAATGCTTTCCATTCTCCTCTGGGCTTGAAGAACCTTGAAGTGTGAGGAGGGGAGCAAATATATATATATATATAATTATTATTATTATTATTATTATTAACTTTGCGCAGTTTCTGTGAGTCAGGTTAGCCGTGGAGCAGGAATCACAAGGAATGTGGCTTTGTTCTCAGAACACCCTGTCTGAACCGATGGCAACCATTGGGCTCTTAGAGAGGGTGTGCTGAGGCTCCAGCACCGTCCACAGCAGAAAGGTTCCCCTCTGGAAAGCAGCGGGCAATGTTAGGGTTGGTTCCAACTCCGCTTTAGCCAGATGGCACAAAACCTTCAACAACACAAAAGTGTCGCCTCCAGGATAGTCTCTGTAGTGTGACCAACAACCTGGGCTCAACATTAAAGATGCTAAGAAATCCCTGCATCCTGGGCAAACTGCCACTGTGGGTCACCCTAACTCCAATGTGGATATTTGGCTTTTTTTTTTTTGGTCAGGACTCACTATGTAGTCTTATACAGCCTTGAACTCACAAATAACGGGGATTAAAACTATGCACAGCCATACCCAGTCATCCTCTCTCCTCTTTTTTTAAAGTTACCTTTTAATATTAAAAATTAATTTGAAAGTAAAAATTGTTTTTCTAATATCCTAATGTGATTACACTAACTTGACAGTGGCCAACATATCTGTAAATGTTAGTCCAATGGGAAAATACATGCTTAAAAAGTTAAGTACATGACACATGGATCTCTGCTCAGAAACTGCTCACTCTTTAACCCTCTCCTGAATTATTTGGTGGCTCTAGGTCCCTCTTGTTTGACAGTCAGTGTCAGTGAATAGCATAGCACCTGCTGGTCCCAGCTGGGTGGTGGCCATGTTTCCTCCTGTCTCAATCACGTTAGACTTCACAATTTTTAGCTTCTGTCGGTGCAGCCGACGGCTCGTGCTGAATACACAGCGCTGAGCTCAAGCACATTTCAGCAACGGAGCTGCTTCCTAGCAGCTCTCATCAAGAAGAGGTATGAGCTGGAATGACCAGGTCTGGCCCACTGAGCCCACACCCACCCTTTCTCCCGTGGATATCCTAACCTGAGCCTTCATCTGAGGACGTGCTTGCGTGCTGACCTGTGCTAACTCTTCTTGTTATTTAACTCTGCATTGAGCAGATGGGTCACTCCCTAAGCCAGACAATGGGGCATCCTTCATGTGTCCCCACCAGATGGCCAAGTGGAGAATGTCACACACACACACAGCAGGCTAGTTCCCAGCCCGGCGCTCCTAGGATCATCTTTACACGTTGGAAAAGAACATTGCAGAGCTTGCGGTGGTCAGCCTGTGTCGCTTAGAAGACGACTGGAGATGTCAGCTGTAGATTGTTTTACGTCTTTCTCCTTCCTCACGCTTTCCCCCACGGGTCCTTACTTGGTGATAAACCGGATATTGTACCGGGGAACCTCTCTCTCTTTGGGTTGGTGATAGCAAAATCCTCGGGGGAGGCATTTGGTTCTATCCACTGAGTGCAGCAGCTACTGTCCTCTGCCACCCGCAAACATCACATTGGCAAAGACCCCTCCCGAGAGGTCTCACCTGTTCTTATATGCCTTTTTATACTTCTACTCCTGAGCACAGGCAAGGCCTCTTTACTGCTTTTTCGGGGTTAGTGCTTGGCTTCTGTCAGAAACTATGGGTTCGTATTGCAATTTGGGGGGTCATTGTTTAGCACACAATGGTACAACCACGCGGCGACCCTCACTGAAACAACCTGTGGATTCCTTGCAGTAACCCCAATTCTTCATAAGCACCCCCATTCCCACACTGCACAAGGCAGAAGGAGCTTAGGAGCCCCCAAGCACACCTTCAGCAGTTATTAGAAGCGAGGAAGGGAAAACACCTGTGCTCTCTGGGTTTTGATGCTGGAAATTTTCCCCATTGCACAGCTGTCACTCCTTGCCAAACATTCCCAGTTATTGTGGAAAAACTGAGCAACAAAAACCGGCCAAACGATG